TTTTGAAACAAAACCGGGTCGATTGAGCAATGATGCGTACTTACCGCAATTGCTCAATGGCCCGAACGAAATTAGAACTAAATTTCACAACAGAGTACACAGTTGTTTGACAGTTTTTTCTTAAACGATGTTCGCTGTAGTCGTAAAGTTATCACAACAATCATTAAACCTTTTTTTTTTTGAGATTTATGACGAGCTTTAGTAATATATTTTTTATTACGTTATTTGTTGGCAGTGACAAAATATCAGATAACATGTATAAGGACTTATCAATTCTCGATAAGTTATGGTACTGGAATTTTGAGGCGTTTTTAAATAAGTTTACATACTTTTCGGAAGACATAAAAAGAATACTAACTGTATGGACAGCAGAAGTTGGTTATCCTATGTTACATGTAAAACAAGTCAATGATACACAGGTAGCAATATCTGTCATAGACTGTTTTACTGTTGATCACAAAAAGCAGTGCGAACTAAATTGGTGGATACCTGTGACTGTTAAAAGACTACCACTGACAGAAAGTACTGTCACGTATAATGATATCTTAACACCATACAGAAAATATATTCGTCTATCGCTTTTTAGAAAAAATGAGTTTGTCATTGTCGCGCATTCCAGTGGTAATGTAATAACATACATGTGAATTATCAAGTTTCTCTTTATTAAACATATAGTGTATTAAAATTATTCATTATTTTTGTAGAATAATTGTTTATTTTATTTTGTTTTTCACTATCACTTTTTTTAAACTTTTATTTGTTGTAGGATATCGCGTCAATTATGACCGAAAATCTTGGAAGCACATTGCTTTTTTCTTAAAAAATGGAGATTTTAAGATCGCAAATGTACATGACGTCTCTATAGCACAAATAGTAGACGATGCTTTTTATTTTTTGGTGCAAAATACAAAATATAACGACAAGTCTACTTCAGATAATAGTGATCTAGACATATATCTTGAAATTGCAAGCAGTATATTTCATGCAAACAATTCCTACATAATGTGGTATCCTATATTTTTTGCTCTTGAAAACATGTCGAAGATTTTTCCGTTTCGAGAAACTGTGGTTACCAGAAACATCAAGGTAAATAATATTACAGTATACCGTAAAGTTCAATAATTGGAAGGTCATTATCACCTTGATGGCAAAAGTATTTTAAGTTATTCGTATAATATATTCGTATAATATATTACGGAACGGTTATACATGTATATAGTACGCAGTAGAGTTGCTTTTTTAGGCGACACCATAAACAATATATAAATTAAAGAATATATATTAGAATAATATATATGAGAATGTAAATATATAATAAAATGTAAATAGAACGTTGTAATATTTAGTAGACTGAACAGAAAACGTTATAAACTTAAAAACGAGAGTCGAAGTTTGACAAACATATCGTTATAGTTTGAAAAATACAACATATAAAAGTGGTATATAGTACTCACACTTCCTGTAAAAGTAGTTAACAAAAGTGAAATAATATCAATATTATATAGTAATATGCCAGGAATAAAAAAAACATTGTTTTAATGTCGTTGTCAATGTTTGTTTTCGTAAACCATTTATCTGATAAAATGCATAAATACGTAAATGGAAATCGTGTTTAGTAGATAGCAAAAGTTTTTTTTTGTATTAGGTATACAACTTTGCTTCCGCCGTTTTTTTTTCAAAATTCAAAGTTTTATTGTAAAAAACTGATTATACATTTATGTTTCAAAGTATTGTCCATTGTTTTCCACTACTTTCTCCTACCTTTCTGGCAGCAATCGAATCCCGCGTTGAAAGAACTGGTCATCTTTTGAAGCGATCCACGAATCGATCCAATTTTGGACTTGTTCATAAGACTGGAAGTGCTGGTCCCTCAGGCCGTGTGCCATAAATCGAAATAGGTGATAGTCAGAGGGAGTAACGTCTGGAAAATACGGCGGGTGGGGTAAGATTTCCCATTTCAACGTTTCTAAGTATGTTTTGACAACTTTTGCAACATGAGGCCGAGCATTGTCATGTTGCAAAATAACTTTATCGTGTCTTTCAAGGTATTGGGGCCGTTTTTCTTTCAATGCTCGGCTCAAACGCATTAATTGCGTTTGATAAAGATCTCCTGTGATTATTTAAGACGGTTTTAACAGCTCATAATATATTACACCGAACTGGTCCCACCAAATACAGAGCATGACCTTGAAGCCGTGAATATTCGGTTTAGCCGTCAGCGCAGAAGCGTGGCCGGGATATCCCCATGATTTTCGGCGCTTGGGGTTATCGTAAAAAACCCATTTTTCGTCACCAGTCACAATGC